ATTTATGCTTACAAATTCTATGAAGTTTACAGAATACACTACTATTTGAACAATTAAAACACTGTGCGCATACCTCACAAGATCGTAACTCTTTTATTTTTTCGGTACACAATTCATCAAAATCTCCCATCATAATGTACAAATTACCCCAATCAATATTTTTCTGACACATTTTCTTCACCGTAACATAGTCACTTGTACGACATTCCCATATAATACAACCATACGAACATGGACAGGGTAATCCTTTTTTTATAAAAATGTACAATTTCCTAGGCCAAACACTTTTCGAGCTAAGATAACACTTTGTGTGAGAATCGTCCATTTTTTTATCAATCGTAGGAATAAAACCGTAATAGATACATTTGTTACCATCTATGGATACCTCAGTGTATTGGTAAGACAAGATTTGGCCTCCAATCACACGGTCTCGCAACGTTTGTCGTTTAATCATTGATGTTGGTAAAACGTCGACATGCATTTTAAATTGCCATCTTTTGTGGAGCATTTTTTATAGAAAAGTTTTCAGGTAAACAACTCATTAAACTCTGCATCAGTTAAGATTGTACAGTCCAACGTTTCAATTTTATACAGCAAAGTTGTCCCAATAAATACATTTTACCAATTTTGTACTGTTTGCCAATCGGTGTGCAAGTAAACACTTGGTTCATGTTGACTGGAAAAAAGACGTTTTCAATTTCAAATCACCAAGATCGGGTCCGTGGAATAAAAAGTTTGGATGACGGAGACAATAAGTTTTCACAAAAGTAAACAAAATTTGACTCTCGGCAAATTCTTCTGTGGACGTAGACACACTTATTTCCAACAAATTAATTGATCTTAAATCACTAGTTTCAAGTAACTCTTTAATTTTTGTTTGAGATAACGGTCGATCACGTTTAATCATAAAATGAGCGAAATTGCTAACCAAACATTTTATTTTCTCGCTTTCACATAAATTCTCACATGGACACGTTAACGACATAATCTACTAAACAACTGTACTGTAGAAACTGAAAGGACATTTATTTTATAGCTCAATTTTGCCACGACTGGGATAACTATGTTGTAAAAAAAACAAAGTCTGAATTTATTTAATGTCACAACGTGATACAGTTAACAATGATTCAGAAACAAACTAAATTTTATAAAAAAAACTTATTTAATGTCACGACTGGATACAGTTACTAAAGTATACAATTCATTACGTTTAACAATTCTGTTAAATCTTTTGTGAAATGGAGTTAAACAGACGCCACACTGTAAACGTTTAATTAATTTGATGCAAGTCGAACATGCTCCATGTGAACATGAATCAAACCAAACAAATCTGGATCCAGCAACTTTCTTGTCCAGACAAACATAACAATCAAATGTGTCATCATAAAGTGCTTGGAACGCTTGGTTGGTTTTTGAGGTGTTTGTCTGTGGAACGTTTGATTTGATACCATTTTTATACATGTTGAATAAAGCCTCGTATTCGTCTTGAACAGCCATAAGTGTGTCAGCAGTTTTTTGATAAATTTTATTCCATCGGTTTAACATTAGTTTCGAATGAACCATTTAACGTTTAATTTTTTTAATTGTTTGAATATGATCCTTTAGAACTTTACCACATTTGTAACGAATTTCGTCCGCCTTAACATCAAACGGTGATTCAGTTTGCGTCGCATCAATTGTCTCTTCCGTAAATAACTTGTTAATTGACTCAAAATCATTGAAAATTTCCTCATCAGAAGCAATAGTATTTTCACTGTAAATTTGGCACTTGCTCATTTCATCGTCAATTTCAGCTTTGGACAGATTAACTTGGGGCACTAGATTGCTGTCTGTTTTAGACAATATTTCAATCAGCGATTTATTAACACACGCGCAACTAAAGTCGGAACTAGTCATAGTCGTTGATGAAGATGGTAAAGCTGAAGATGTAGAAGCTTGAAGATAATCAAAACAAGACATGTTTTGTTTGTTTTTACTGTTTTACTTAAAAAATTCAAAGTGAATGTATAAATGATCTCATCTGTTTATACAGGGCGTTTTTTTTATCCACTACGGCTATTACACTGAATATCTCCGGAACTAAAAGTCATATGAATGTGAGACTTGACCAGAGGGCTAAACAGAATTGAAGCGCTCGACCCTACGATTTTCAAGGTCATTGAGGTCATTTAACGAAGGTAGCATTTAAAGGTCATTTTAAGGTCGTCGTGTGAAAGAACAAATCAAATCACACCTCAGATTTTATTTTGAACTGTCTGTGATGAACGGATTGGAAGATAGGCATGTTTCAATCTGAAAACACTTCAAGAGTTAAGTTTATAAGAAAAGGCTGTATCTCAGCTGCCTTTTGACGGAATATCATCAAACCTTAGGTTTGAGTGTAACTTTTTGTGCTCTTTCACACGACGACCTTAAAATGACCTTTAAATGCTACCTTCGTTAAATGACCTCAATGACCTTGAAAATCGTAGGTCGGCGCTCTTGTGATAATCATTCTGCTGTTTTAATTCTAACCATCAATGAATGCCCTATATAAAAATAAACCTATTAAAAGTCACAAGATTAAATTGCTGACAATGAATTCAGTTAATCAGTATTCCGATTAAGTTGATACAAAATTGATTATCATGACATTAGATTGTAATTAAATATATTACATGATGAATTAAGATAATGACCAATTTAATTTCAATCAACCAATTCAATAGAGTTGATGATAAACAAGATAATTGTTCATATCCATCATCATCATCATCATCATCATCATGGTAAGAATTGAATTGATATCATGAAAATTTGAATAATAACAAGTTGGTTATTCAGTTGAATTTAAATATTCTGGTTCATGAAATCACATTGAATCTTAATGTAAATTTGTGATCATTTTCTGTGAGTAAATTTAACAATACAATCTACAATTAACGGTAGACAATCAGTTGATTGTTGATTAACTTATGGTGAATCGTAATCATAAGTTAAACATCAATTATGCTCATGGAAACTGGTGAAATAATTAAAACAGTAAAGTTAATTATTTCCAATTGATACCATTGAGAAATTAGTTGATTGTTGATAAGATAATTATATTAATTTTGATTATCGTGCCATGTTAATTGTTACCGTCACGCTTGCACATTTTTATCAATGAGCAAAATGATTGGGTGATAATCAGTTGAAATAATTATTGTTCATCAGCCGTATCATTATCACCACCATGAATCAACACTGAATCGAGTGATGAACTTCATTTAATAATAACTGAATTTACATATTCTCAGGAAATTATATCTTCAGTTAATTAAAGACACAATTTCATGGAGATTGAGAATCAAATTTCTTACGATTAATTTTTCTTTGTTTCCAATTTGGTTCCATTTAAATACAATGTTGACAGAATTCATTTGTAATCATAATCATTATCATTGTTATTCCAATGATAATCAATCAGAATACAAAGGGTGTGACAAAAATAATATCAAAATAATGGTCAAGGTTTTTAATATTATCGAAATGGTGAAAGGTTTGATGTTATCATCATTTCCAGTTAGAGTCTTGGTTAAAATACTAATGTGATATTATCTTGTAAATGTCTATGGGTGATGATGAAAATAATGATCATGATAAACCAGAAGTAAATTGGATAACTGATAATATCAAGTTTTACGTTTTAATGTTCCGGTTGATTCAGAATAAGAAGATAAATGATTAACTGGTTAATTTATTAATATCTTTCTGATGGCTATTAACAAATATGAGAAAAGGACAGAAAATTGTGATGACGTGACTAACGGGAATATTATCATCGATTAGATGAACCGGAAGTTTACCTATGAGATAAAATGAGAAAAAAGAAGATAAAAAAGAGCAAGAGAGAGAGAGAGAGAGAGAGAGATGGTGATGATGATGAAAAGATGAAAAGATGAAATTGTAGACAAAAGATACAAAACAGAGACAATGAAAATCGTCATCTTTATCTTCTTGTTCATCATCAAATCTAATCAAATAACTAATAACTTCCATGACGCTGAAATTTTTTGACTCATACATGATTACCTTGGAATTGGATGCTATAATTGACTTTCAAAACCAAGGGGTGACTGAAAGTTCTGCTTCGCGAAAACACCTTCAAACGACCTCTGGTCACGTTCTGTGCTTCTCAATGACCTTGACCTTGCACAGCATTTCTTATAATTAAATCGCAAGATGAACATCTCTTTTTGTGTCTTTTTTACATTATAGCTCCTGAACAAAAAATTTGCAACGAAGAGCAACAAAGAATCATGTTTGACTCTGTGGATGATTATGAAGAGATCGAGCTAGTTTCATTGACCGATGTGATTTTCTATGCAAACGAAGCGCGTTCACTAAATCAAAAAGACCAAAGCCAATTCTATAAGCTCATTTGGAATAGATAAATCAAGAAACCGATCAACAAGCTAATTTTAAGTTGAGATAATAGTCTCTCAGTATATGGAATAAATTTTCAAAAATCAACTGAACAATTAAATTTTGTATTTTCTTTATTTACTATCAATTAACTTTGATTATTTAACATTTAGACTTGAATATGTAATAAGAGTAAATTTTTGGACGTTTGGTTGGGTTGTGTCGGTAGCTCATTTATTTAGAAATTTCTTTCAAGATTAATCATGATCAGTTTTTGATTTCATTTTTTTAATCTCTATTTCTTGTTAATTAGCTAATTAAACTCATCATTTCAATCATGATAAACAAAAGGAATCAGTTGTCATCAGTATTTATCGCACTGAAATAAAAACACCAAGAATAGAATCAACGAATCAGAATAATCTAAATATCTAATTAATTTGATCATCATCATCATGGAAGTTGATCTGAATATTATTCATGAAAATTGCCTTTTTTTATTGTTCTTCATGAATTATCTGAACAAAAGCTGATGTTCATTTAAATACAGAAAAAAATTGCATTAATATTTTTACCTGATATTTTAATAATCCAGGTAATCACAAATTTCTAGGTTAACAAGTTGAACTGTTTCCAATAACTTGTATTTATATAAAATATTACATGAATATCATGATGATTTAGGTGATAAATGAATAAAATATTCATTACATATTATTAAATTCAGTGATAAATGTTACCTTGATATGATTATTAAATCTTTGGTATTGAATATTTAAGTATTATCATCACTTAAAATTTGTTGTCATTGTTTTCAATTATTATATTGCTCCAATTATCTTGGTTAATATTTGATTTGATTGTTGCTGTTTTCCACTTTAATTGTTATATTTAACTGGTAATCAATGGGTTGGTTGATGTACTTTTCTGAACTTTATCAGGTTGTTTTAAATTGCTCTCTGATTTGATTAACCGACGACTAATTAAACCAGGAATTAAGGCAACAAATGCAATTCCCATTAAGGTTAATATTGTGCTCGGAGTAAAAACATCATCCATTGATTTTAGTGTTGACAGTAAACATCCAGTTTGAACACATATGAAATTGTAAGGCATTAAACCTGAAAAGTAAATTAGATCAAGTTATTAGTTTTGATGATTTAATTAATTGTTACAATATAACATTTGCTTATTATAATAAATGATGAAAATTCACAGAAAAAAATTGATAATCTAATAGTCGGAGTGAAAATTTTGTCTCCAATCTTATCATTTAAAAAATGGTTACAATTACCAAGTAAAAAACTGTTGATCTAATTATTTGACTCTTTTGATTTAATGAGTTGGAATTGGATTAGTTTAATTATTGTAACTCCATTTAACTAGATTAAGTACATTTTAGATTGTTAATTGTTTCTATTTGTAATTAAATAAAAGGGATTGTTTTATTGGTAAAAGAAGTTGATTTAGTTAAGAATTAACATTTTCCTTAGATTATCTTTGTTTTTCTAACTGTAAATATCTTGTATTCTGAGCAAGTCTCAGTCTTGGTGCTTATTAGGAATCATTTATTCACCAAAAGGTGAAATCATATTAACCATCATGTTAATGACCTGAGAATCATGAATTACCTAATTGTAGATATAAAAAAAATATATAAACACTGTCAATATCAACACATTGACTAAAGTCAATCTTGATGATCAAGTAAATTGTAACAAAACTCACAAGTTGATTGTTTATTCTGGTCTATCAATTGTAATCATTATTTGATATTATCCTGAAGCTGTTCAGTTGCGATTCTCATTCTGAGAAAACTAACAAAAGATGGACAGAGAAATTTACTAATATTGATAATCATTTCAAGATTTTCATGAGGTGTACCAGGTAAGTTTTGTAGTGAACTATTGTCGACTCCATGAAACTGATCACTGATTCATGGAGATCAGAATTAGAGAGAGAGAAAAGTTTTGTTTATGTATTATTTATCCTCGACGATTCCACAATGAAGATGATAATAGAGATAATTTATTTCAGTTATCACCTTTTCTGGGTTTGTATCAACTAATAGTAGTAAATATTATCTTCATCATGATAATAATGATGATATTTTAGATGAAATTGATGATATAAGATAACTTATGGTGAAAAAAATCAGAGTATATTCATGGGAGTTTTTTTTTCATTTGTACGATTTTTTTCTGGTTCCATGAACTTTTCCATGTGCCGTGACTTGTTCATCCATCTTCACTTCTCATCTCACCCACACTCATTTTCCACCTTCGAGAATTACATAATCAATCCACCTCCCACTCTCTATCATTTCCATGTTTCTACCTTGTATTCCATCATTCAAGATTCATCAGGTAAAATTTCAAATTTTTTGATAATTCAAAAAAGAATTAAAAACATGTGAATACATTGTAATGGAACTTATTGCAAGTTCCAAAAGAATTGATATTCTCATGCTAAATCTTATTCACAATGAAAACTTGAATCTTTATTTTGATAGAAACTAAATGGTTGATCCTTGTTAGAGTGAGAAAATTGAACTTTTATCATAAATCTGAAGAGAAGATGAAAAATTTGAGTGACCTGTTTCTCTTACCAAATGAGTTTCAACTATAAAGAAACTGGGAATTCTGAAATTTCTACCACCGAGACACATAAAATTCAGCGACAATATCAAAATTTCAGTGGCTCAGTTTACTGTTTATCGTATTGAACAAATAAAGTTTACGATTTCAATAGACTTATCTAATTGATTGCTATTCTGATAATCAGAGAATACAAAATTCATCATCTTCTGTTGAAAACAAAGTGCTAATGTGTTTTATTGATTATCTGACTATCTATTATTATCCCAATTGTTAATAAGAATTCAGATTCAATGGTGAAAATGAAAGAAAACAGTTTATCTTTTTGGTTTAATCTGAAACTGAATCTACCCTGAAAGTAATCAGATTGCATTTTATCAAATCACAGAGGAAAAGAGAGAGAGAAAGAGAAAGAAAGAAAGAGAGAGAGAGAGAGAGAAAACTTTTAATATGATATCTAATAATTGAATTGTTTTTCCTACCTCATTATTATCATTCTGATATACTTGCTGATTGAATGATTATCATGATTGAATCATCATCATGTTTGAATATCATGTTATCATCTACTTGAATGTGAACAATATTCATGATAATTGGCTGATTGGTGAATAGATGATTATCTTATGTACACTTAAGGAAAGAGCTAAAAAACAACATTCATATAAGAATCAGGGAATTCATAAGAAACATGGTATCCGAATGAATATTCAATCTATTATCATGATAGAAAAAAAAATTCTGATATCAAGATGAGATGAAGATTACTTTTATTCAGTTCAATGATCTTCAGCATTGAGCTTAAATGAACTGAAAATAAGAAGTGAAACTGATTCGATGTGTCATTTATTTTTTTTTCATGTTTTCTTGTTTTTTTCAGGGTAACCTTTGAATTTCTCATTAATAAAACCTAATTAATCTATTTCATGAGCTCAATAAGTTATTTTAATGATAATAACTCGAGGGTGGAAGGGCAAAAAAATGAGAAAAATTTACATGTTCGAGGAAAGTTGCGCAAAGAGTGAATCTGAACCAAAGCTGAATCACGAAACTCTGAATAATTTGAATTTCTAGTCGAGTTTCCAGATTAATGTTCATCTTGGAAAACTTTTTCTTCTCGCTTATTTGTATGAGCTTTTTCATTTGAGTTCAGAATATCAAGTTGAACCATGAAGATGGTTACAATATATGAATCTGAATTGTCAAAGTTTCATCATCATGGGAATTCAATTGTTTCCATGAAAGTAAATAGATTCAGTGATTATGCCCTTTGGTCAACCTGTCAGGGTCTCAACCTTTTTTCCATGTAGAAAATTAAATTGCGAATTAATCTCAATTGAGAAAGTTATCCATAACATTAGAACTCAATCTACCTGATTCAGGAAAAGTATCTCTATAAGCGTCTCTCTTAGTTCCTAATTTATTTGAGTATTAATACCATGACCCAGATTAATCTGTACTCGCCCTGAGTAGATTAAATAACTTCGAGCCATCATAACGATGGTTTTTCAGATCAGCACAAGAATTTTTCTCGAATCGTAGAATCGTTATCCTGAGAATATGTTTGTTTCCAATTGATCATCTTCATGATTTTCAAACAGTCACAGTTTTAGGATTCAAAAGAAAATCAATTTAATCGCAATTATGATAATCGCACCGACTGACAATTGGATTGATAAAACAATTAATATCAATAGATGATTTTTGCATGAAGAAAAAGATTCAGTTGGAACTGAAAGTGAAAATAATTGAATAAAATTTCGAGACAGTGAAGTTAATCAGAATCTAATAGTTATCAAGGAAAATTCATACAGAACTGATATTATTTCAAAGAAAATCATGAATGGAATTGAGGAAGAAAAAGTTTCAATGAAAATGATTTAATGAAATGTAAATTGAACTGATAATTTCCACAGAACTTTTTTTCCTCAATTTCCACAAGTGAATCTGATAAGATATTCAATTTCCAGGATTATTATCATGATTATTTTCATATTTACATGAAGTTAAAATGATAATAGCACCATGATAACTGAGGATAGATTCATTTCATTAACCATGACAATGAATCTTATTTCATTGAATTTCATTTATCTTTTATTCAACTATTATTTGTTAAATTTAACCTTAAATTCTGATTATTCAGGTTTCAGTTTCATTCAAAACTCATGTTATCTCATGATGGGGAAAATGAAACTTATATACATTCATATCTATCTAATTACAAGATTTAGAGTATTTTTACCATAAGAATCCGATCCTTCTGAATACTTATTGAATCTTATATCAACGAAATAACTCAGAATCAGAACTAATCTCTATTGGTAACTATTAATATTCTGAAACTTTCATCATTTTATTTCCAAATAAAAAACTCTCATGGTGAGAAAGACCATGAAAAAATGCTCATAGTCGAATTGAAATTAGAACTTATTTTTTTTCATAAAAGTTTTTAAGATTTTGTTTATAATTATCATGAAAATAATAATGAATATCATGTTTAATATGACAATTCAATAAAATGCTATGAAATTAAAATATATGAATCTCTGAGTTTCATGCAGAGATTCAAATGAATGATGGGAAATTATCATGACAAAAATAGCATTGAATTAATTTTTGGCATAATTTAAACTGATCATGACAATTAGTTAATTTTTATCAAATCCTTTTAATGTAAAAGTTTAATTGTAACTCATCATGTTCACTAGACTCAAATAGATTCAAGCTGATAATTGAATATTCCTAAATTAAATCAGGAATAATCTTGATAATCTTAAGCTCACCTATTGACCCTAATTAGCATCACCAAATTATCCCAGTGACGATTTATTCAAGCCTCATCATGATAATCCGTTTATATCATCAATCTAATGGCTTATTAACTATTAATAAGTAACAATTTATAAACAATAAAGGATCACCATTTACAAATGAAGATAATCATAGTTTCATGATAATAGTGTTTGAATAAATTGAGATAATCCTGAATTATCATCAGGATGAGAACAAAAAAATGAGCATTCAAATTAACAATTCTGATACAAAAGTTAAATCAACAGAATCACAGGATGAATTTTAAATAAGACTCATAGACAATCAATATAATATTGATACAATTGAATCTTGTTTCTCAAGCTAATAAATAAAAAGTACCATGTAAATTGAATCAGATTATGAAAAAAAATAATCAATTTCCAATGATAATTGAAATTCATAGCGATCATTGAACCAACAGTATCAAGTCACATTCTGTAAAACTAAACTCAATGGTTTTTATGATAAGTTCAATTCATGATAATCATTATAATGATAATTTAAATTGTAAACAAAAAAACATCAAAAAATTATCATGAAAATGTTTAAATTATTCATTGTAAAGGTTAACATTACGATAAATAATTTAATCAGCAAGAGAGTATGTAAAGGTATATCAAGTCCAGTGGAACAGAAAAACTAACATTTACATTGGAAGATGAAAATCATTTTTACCAGAAATTTAACTCATGATAATTGAGGAAATT